TATAAATATTAAGTATTAAAAAGAGGGTATATATAGATAACTTCTCTATATATATATTTACTTAAAATACTAAAAATATAAGAATAGTTTAAGTAATAAGAAATTTAACTAGTATTATATATTAAACTAAAAGTATTATAAAATTAAATCTCACTATATAGAGAAGTAAATAAAAGCTTTTATAACTAGATAAACTAATATTATTAATATAGAACTACTTAAAGAACTACTTAGTAAGATTCTTTATAACTAGTTTATAGAGGATTAAAAATACTAAAATAAGAGAAATAAGAATATTATTAAAGTTAATAATAATTAGGAGATAATAGTAATAATAAAAGAGAAGGCTAAAAATACTATACTTTTATTATTAAAGTTAAGATCTAGCTTAACTAATACTAATAGTAATACTATTATTAATATATATAGTAATATAAAGGTACTAAATTATTATCTTTAATATCTTAACCTATATATATAGTTACTACTATTAGTACTAATATTAGTAGTATATTAGCTATATATAAATATCTTATAGTATTTATTACTAACTCTTCTATTATTAAACTTTCTAAGTATTTATTAACTAAGTATTATACTCCTAATTTATTTATCCTTACTAGTAGTATTAAATTTACTTTAAAAAGCTCTAAATTAAGTAGCTAGCTTTATTAAGTAGTTTATATCTATTTATAGTAAGTAATATAATATTAATAAAAAGTTTAAAAAGAAGTTATAGAAACTATAATTAGTAGATAGTAGCTTATAAGTAGTTTATAAATTATTAGATACTTAATTTACTAAATATAGTTTTACTTAAGATCTTATTAAAAATATTAAGAACTTAATTAAATCTTTTATAAATAATAGTACTTATTATAGAGAGTAGTCTAATACTATCTCTAATATAATATCTTATTTTAAATTTTATTTAAACTATTAAGAATTAGAGGGAGATATTTATATAAGAATATATACTAGATTACTAAGAGGGATAATAGTAGTACTAGTTAAAAACTCTATAGTATTAGTTTTAAGTAAGTTAAGGTTATCTTAATATATTAATACCTTAATACTATATTAATCTATTAAATAAGAGATCTATAGTATACTAATTAAAATTAGTTAATATAGTAAGTATATATAGAGCTATTTACTATTAAATATAGCTAACTTTATAAGTATTTTAGAACTCTTTAGTTTTATTTTATTACTACTACTATTAGTATTATAGATACTACCTATATAGTTATAGATTAAATAAAATAAAGCTAAGTAAAGTATTAAAGATAATTAGATTAAAATCTTAAGTAATATATTATTAATAGAGATATATTACTTAGAGGAGAATAAGGAAGAAGAGTAATATAGTAAGAGTAGTATGAAGTTTAACTATATATACGATTTTCTTATATAATATATTTAACTATAGAAAAGTCTACTTATAGCTATAGATTTAATACTACTACTATATATATATAAAAGTTATAGAATTACTATAATTTTAGATCTATAAATAAGATAATCTATTTTAATACTTTTTAGTTTAATATAATAGAAGTCTCTAACTATAGTTAAAATCTCTAACTATAGTGATATATTATTATTATAAATTATTACTATAGGTATTAATAATATATTTTAGCTACTATATAGGTAAAATTAATATATATATATAGCTATTAATAAAAATAATAA